TGCATTTTGAAGTTAGAAAATGATTATCGATTTGGTGAGAGATATAACATGGGATGATGGAGAAAGAAACCAGGTCAAAAGGATTAGGGATTAAATGAAATGTGAGGAAATGAAGATAGATCTTTCAAAGAGCTTGACCACAAAAGGAAGAATATGAAAGTATTGAGTGGGGAAGAAGGGTGCAGGAACTCAAAGGAAGACATTTCTTATTGTGTGAGAGAGTTAAGCATATTAATGCCAATTACAGAAAACCAGGTAAGATGGACAGTAATTGAAGGGTCAATTGATATGACAGAAGATGGTAAAGGGAAAGAAAAAGAGCTAAATCCATTGACCAGGCACTGTTTCAAATCTCTTATGTTTATTAATTCATTAATCTTAAACCATATCTCTCAGTGTAGGTGTCGGGATTAGTTTGGACAGGAGAAATATCTCTTCTACAAGAAGGGGAAGAAAGATTTTAGTTTAGATGTATGTATATGTGTGTGAGTACTTGGGGTTAGAGAAAAGAGCAAGAAGATGACAAGTTATCTTCAGATGTCTATTTTATGGAAGAAGTAGATAGAATAGCAAGTCATCTTCTGGAGGTGAAGAGGGTGAGGGTGTGTCAGGAAAGTGTGGAGAGAAAGAACAGGGTGTTGTGGGAAATGGTTAGGATTTGAACGGCTTTGGATGTTAGTGGGAGAAAGTACAGACCAGGAATACATATAGGGACCAAGTGCAAGTGGAAAATTATCACTTGGGTGTGGCATTCATCCACATGTATGAGCTCAGCCTCCAGAGACTAGAAGCGGAGAAGACAAACTGAAACAAACTAAGGTTAGATTTTTCCAGGCTTAAAGTAGTGGAAAAGATAAGCAGCAAATTATTTGAGAAAAAGGAATGAAAGACTTAAAACTAAATGTGTAGGATCTAGGAGAGAGAAAGAAGGGAGTAAAGTAGGAGTCCAGTCAAATGGGAAAAGATGGAGAGAGTGTAGGTTGAAACTACTTTTTGAGGTCAAAGAATAGCGATGGCTGATGGACAGGGAGAGTGTATTCAGAGACTAGGAGACTAGAATCAGAAATTAGGATTTCAGTGGTAGATTAATTCTGGAGAGATGGCTATTAGTTTTCAACTTCATGTCAGTGGAGTAGGAGCCAATATGGGACCGGAAGTTGCAGGTGTCAGAGACATCACCAGGATGTGGCAGGAGTCTGATGGAGACAAAAGTCTACGAGTCAGGTGCCAAATCTATCAGTAAATAGAGGAAAATTTGCAGAAAGCAACTGGAAAAATATAACATCATCTTAGCCACATGCCCCAGCACTCAAAGAAAGAATTTTTCTAAGCAAATGGACAAGTAACACTTTTCAGAATATGACTGAAGACCAGGACAATGCTAATTCTTACTTTTACTCACAGTATTACTTTGGGTGTCTGGAGGGTGGCGGGGAAAGCTACTTGTGTATCAATAAGTTATAGTTCAAGGAAAGAATCTGGAAAGCTTATCAGTTCAAAATAACTCACACTGGCTTTGTAGATTTTTAACGTATTTTCCGGATAAGGGACCTACAGTTTCTTTGAGGAATTGGTTCTCAGCACTGACATACTGGTAAGCGCTCTTTCCAAAGGTTTGCAGAGGGAAAAATTAATTAACAAATGCAAAGTATTTAGCACCAAGATCATAATTAATTGAAAGACTGAGAAAAATACCACAAGACTTGGCTGTCCAAAACAATTCTGCTTACCTGTCTTTGTAGACTTGACTTCACACCACCTTCTGCAGCTAGTTTGGCAATGGAGCAGCTTCTGTAATCACCACCTTATAGTTAGTTCTAGTCCAGACTAAACCCCAGCTGATTTAGGCTGTCACTGTTTAGCATAAAGCTCCAAGTTGTGGGTCCCTATAGAGCAAACTGGAGGTTCTGCCCATTGACATGAACGAAATCAGAGACTTTCTGGACCAGAGGAAGACCCTGAATGTGTTCTGTACTGAACAGCTTCTACAATTATAAGGAGTTTCCCACTGAAGCTTTTGATTTATCCAATATC